CTGACAGCAGAAATGGCTCAGAAAGGAGTTCAGCTGGACACAGAAACCTTCTCCTGCTCCATCTGCCTGGATGTCCTGAAGGACCCGGTGACTATTCCCTGTGGACACAGCTACTGCATGAGCTGCATCAAAGCCCACTTTGATGGAGAGGATCAGAAGAGAGTTCACAGCTGCCCACAATGCAGAAAACACTTCACACCGAGGCCTGTCCTGGAGAAAAGCACCATGTTAGCAGCTTTAGTGGAGCAGCTGAAGAAGACTGGACTCCAAGCTGCGCCTGCTGACCACTGCTATGCTGGACCTGAAGATGTGGCCTGTGATGTCTGCTCTGGGAGACAACTGAGAGCCAGAAAGTCCTGTTTGAGCTGTGTGGCCTCTTACTGTGAGGAACACCTTCATCCTCATTATGATTCACCTACATTTAAGAAACACAAGCTGGTGGAGCCCTCCAAGAAGCTCCAGGAGAACATCTGCTCTGTCCATGATGAGGTGAAGAAGCTGTTCTGCCGCACTGATCAGAAGTCCATCTGTTCTCTCTGCTCTGTGGAGGAGCATAAAGGCCACCACACAGTGTCAGCGGCAGCAGAAAGGACTGAGAGGCAGAGAGAGCTGGAGGGGAGGCGGCAACAAATCCAGCAGAGAATCCAGGACACACAGAAAGATGTGGATCTGCTCCAGCAGGAGGTGGAGGCCATCGATCAGTCTGCTGACAAAACATTGAAGGACAGTAAGAAGATGTTCACTCAGCTGATCCACTTCATCCTGAAAAAACACTCTGTTGTGGAGCAGCAGGTCAGATCCCAGCAGCAAACTGCAGTGAGGGGAGTCAAAGAGCTTCAGCAGGAGCTGCAGCAGGAGATCACTGAGCTGCAGAGGAAAGACGCTGAGCTGCAGCAGCTCTCACACACAGAGGACCACATCCAGTTTCTGACCAGCTGTCCCTCACTGCCAGCACTCGGGGAGTCCACACACTCCTCCAGCATCAGGGAGCGTCCTCTGAGCTGCTTTGAGGATGTGACAGCAGCCGTGTCAGAGCTCAAAGACAAACTGCAGCACATCCTGACTCAGGACTGGACTAAAGTCTCACTGGCAGCCGCTCAGCCGGATGTTCTACTGCCACCAGAACCAGAGAGCAGAGCCGACTTCTTAAGATGTTCACGTAAAATCACACTGGATCCAAACACAGCAAACAGATGGCTGTTACTGTCAGAGGGGAACAGGAAGGTGACAGTAATGAATAAACCTCAGTCTTATCCTGATCATCCAGACAGATTCACTCGATGGTTTCAGGTCCTGAGCAGAGAGAGTCTGACTGGACGTTGTTACTGGGAGGTGGAGTGGAAAGGGAGGGGAGTTGGTGTAGCAGTCGCATACAAGAATATCAGGAGGGCAGGAAGTGGAAATAAATCTGAATTTGGATATAATGACAAATCTTGGGCATTATATTGTGATGGAAACAGTTCTTCATTTTGGTTCAAAAGCATAGAAACCTCCATCTCAGCTCCTCCTTCCTCCAGAGTAGGAGTGTACCTGGATCCCAGAGCAGGTATTCTGTCCTTCTACAGCGTCTCTGAGACCATGACTCTCCTCCACAGAGTCCAGACCACCTTCACTCAGCCTCTCTATGCGGGACTTTATGTTTATTGGCCTGGAGACACAGCAGAGTTATTTGACCTCAGATAATCTCTCCTCTCAGCTTGTTTCTTTCTGTAAATAATCATTTATGGATTCATCCTGAGCTGTATGACGTTTCAACAGCTATATGACGTTTGAGGTGTTGGATGAAAATAAAAAGATAATGTCTGAATCTCGACTCAGTCTGTGTCTGTTTGACTGGAGACATTTAAGGGGTACTTCATATGATCAGTTTAATAAAGAAAATATTCAAAGAAAAACACAAGAAGAACTTCAAAAAGCTGTGAACCAGCATCACCTCTATTTATAGTTTTTCAGGGTTGAATTAATTAAATTTTTCCACTTGTTTCTGTATTTCGGTTGAATCCTTCCAGTGTGCAGCAGCAGCTCTTTGGGAGACCTCAGAAATCCTGTTTCTTGTCCATCAAATTGTGCATTCTTTGGCCTTTTTCCCATCAGCTACAGAAATGGAACAATTGATGTGTCTTTGTGACAGGCTGCTTCTAACAAAGAGCCTAGAGATTCACTTTAAACTGCTGGACTCAGCGCTGGCTCATCCATTGAGTTAGGGGACTTCTGAATGATTCAGAGGACTGGACTGAAAATAAGAGAAAAAACAAAAAAGTTGCTAAAACAAACCCAAACAGGATTGATCATCTAGATCAGATTTGCTCAAGACTTATGATTTGAAAAAATCTTGTTTTTACACCTTAAATAATTCCTCCTTTTGAATGAATGAGTGGGA